GTTTTGACGCCCAAGCCATTTTGTCGCTACTTTCGTCTAATTTACCATGTGAGATTTCATATCATCAAGAATAGTGCGGAGCTCGCCTTCAGAGGGGGCTTTGATTGCTCCAGCGACGTTGCGAATTGCACCTACCACGTCTTGGAGCTCCTTACGCTGAAAGATGATGGCAGGTGTGATGACTTCCCCGAAATTTGGAGGGATCTCCGCGACCGACAACTCAGCCCTAGGATCCCTCACGCGATGGCGAAGCTCGGGATCTGCTGCCACGTCGAACAAACGGTGCGACGTACGCTCGATTATGAAGGCACTAGGACCGCTGCCTTCACTTGTGCCAAATGCCTTCAGCTCTGACCAGGCGGAATTCAGCTCATTAAATGCACGTTGAAAGCTTTGGGTTGCAATGACATCTCTCTCTGAAATGATCTTGGCGTTTGTTTCTGCAAGCCACAGTTCTACAATCGGCATGATAAGATTGGCTAAGCCCCAGACCCCAAAAGACACAAGACCAAGGGTTATACCAGCCTGAAAAAGACCCATTCCAAGTGATGTCCCACCAGAAAAGGGCGCTGATGCGATTCCAGCGGCAATAGCACCAAAGGCTATTAATCCTGCAGACACCTAAGAAATTGAAAAAAATTGCAAAATTAGCCAACGTTGTTGTTTGAGTTACACAATGAACGAATTTTCTGTCAACAAATAAATTGATTTTACTCACTGAAATGAACGAGTTATGTTAGTCTAAGTTGGAATGAATTAAGCTTAAATAGGCCTACATGTTCAAATAGGCCTTAAATGCTTGGCATCTTTTTATTTATTGATTTATTGATTTCTACTTTGTACTTGGTGGCCAATTCAGTCATTTTATCAAGACTGATCTCCCATGGGTCCCAGTAGGAGTAATAATACAATTAAACACGATTTGAACATGAAATTGATAACATCACATTTTAAGTACATGTTTGTATATTCTCATTGCACAGTATGAAACAAGCGTTATATTAAAAATAGAGAGCATGAAAATTGCTTTAAATTTAGCGTTCAAACTAAACAATAAAATAAACAAATAATAACAATAAACATAAACATTAAAAGTCATTTCATCCAGCAGCTAGTGCCCAACGATAGGCACATTATCCAATCCCTCAGAAATCATTATTGCATTGGTTGATCAAAATTGAAGAAATATATCAATTTAACAAAATCATCAATAACCCAGCTAGTCAAGAGTCAAAATGGTTGATAATGGTTTGTACAGTTGTTGGAAATAATCCTTTTAACTTGCTGGTAGGTCATTCCAGGCTTGGGCACACTGATATTGGAAAGTTTTCCTGCAAGATTCGGTTTTGGGACGTGGCAGATTAGCATTCCCCATAGTACTAGATCTTGTGCGATGTGAATGATGGTCATTGATTCTGGAGCTTTTTTCAAAGCGGTAACTAGGAACTAATCCGGCTAAACACTATTTCTTTGGAATCAGTGTCAAAAATATGTTACCTTTGCAGCATTTCCTCCTCTTTGAGCAGTTTCGACCTTGGTTTGCAATCTCTCCAGACACGATATCGTATCACTACGATCACGAACATATTCCTTCGCTGCCTTTTCAAAAGCATCCCATTTCTGAGACAACTTTTCCCGCAGTTGTGCTACGTAAAATCATCAGAAAAAAATAATTCAAGTTAACCTTAGCCTGTAGATTATGAATCGTTATTTCTTTTCTTTTTTCATTTCCAATGTTGATTCTCTCAATAGATTTTATCACGGTTGATGTCTAACTTTAATAATAAAAGGGTTACACTTTTAAGGCACTCCTTGTATGCACCCTTAAACATACGGTGTCACGATGGTAATTTGTCAAAATAAGATTTCGTACCTTCTTCGCGTTTTGCATCTTCAAGGACTTTTAGAGCGCTGCGGTAATCCTCTTCTGAAATCTTAATGTCATCTATCTTCAATTCCCTGCCAAGACAACTTTGAAGTTCTCCGCTGGAGTATATGCCCCAGAACTTCTTCAGGCCTTCGACGCTTCTGAAAGCCAAGAGGAGCTTTATACATCCTTGCACCACACCAGAAATGTAGCAACCACAAGATCTGAGTAACTGCACTACTTTTTCAGGCAGGCTTTCCTCTGTCACCATTGTATCTATTTCTCCAAGAAGAAGTTCCCCCGAAGAATACCTTCTGCACTTAGCCGGTAAAACTGTTTAAGGAAGGGGGAGGGGGGAGGGATGAGAAATTTTTAATTGAAATTCTCAAGTTTGCAAAGATGGCACATAAAATGGTAATGATTTGTGATATCATTCATGTAAATCTGGAAATTTACTAAAAACTAAAATTGCTTTACAAACCAGTTTATGAAACAGGAAATCAACCAACTTACTTGCTATGTTTGTGTCTCTTGAGTCCTGAACGACAATGCAGTTTTTGTAATAATTTTCGGCCTGCACTTCCGCTTTTTTTCCTGCCGTTTTCTGCTCCTCTGTGAGACCTATTTTTTTCAGATTTATGAAATCGGAACGTATAAGAGAAACTTGTGTCAACCCTGCAGTGTCCCTAACGTGTGACTCTCTTATAATGAAACTTTAAACATACATTTTTCAAATGAAAAAGCGGTGAGATTATCATCCCCCCCCCCCACAGTAAGTCGATTTGTGATCCTATCCTATAAAGTAAAACCATAATATGGGATTCAACAAGGGGTCAAATTATTTACCTACAATTCATAATTTGGACCCAAAATCATTTAAACAAATAACCAACTTGAGTTGTCTTTCAAATGAAAGCCCCTGTAGTTCCCTTTAACTTGATACTACATTTAATTTGTAATGCTGGTAGTTCGGAAGATTTGGTAAATTTTCCTATTTTCTGCTGTTTCCGATTTCACATGGAATGGCCCCTGTATTAAAATTAAAAAGCTATGTAGGCCTAGGCTGAAAAGGAACGTGAACACTGCAGTATTTTTTTTTCTCTGTCAGATGCGATTTCTGACATTGCACGTAGGCCTACATGTTATGCGGTATATTGTTTACATGTACACAATAGTGAAAGCACAAAGAACATAAAATGTTATGCTATCGAAACGACAATTATCAGTATTCAATCATCAAAAAAGATCATCATTCAGTTCATATACGTACCACTACCGCCAGAGGCCATTGTTGGCGACCTCGTAAGTCTTGAACTGTATGAGAGGACTTCAGCTAACGGAAAGAATGATGCAAAGTTGCAACGTATTTTGCTGTATGTGTACCAAGCCTGTCCCCAACTCTCAACTCTCCCTGGAGGTAGTGCGACGTGCAATTATGTATTTTTTTTCCAGCTGGATACCACAATTTTGGCCAAAGTCCATAGAGCAGACACGTAAAATGCGCGGGTTATTTGCAGTGGCGTAGCCACGAATTTTTCAGGGGGGGGGGGGGAGGCGCTGGGGGGGGGGGGGTCTGGAACATTTCATGGGGGGGGGCGTCATGTTACTATCTAAGCGGAGCATAGGGGTTCTTGTACACACATGACCTGGGGTTCTTGTACACACATGACCTGTTAAGTCTTTAGGAGTTACCTGGTGGTGCTGTGAATTGCTGGGCTTGCGCTCTCAATGTTGGACAAGGTTGTTGGGACACTTAAGCTGGCGTTTTGCCAAACGACTGTAGACAACGATTTGCATGACCATACGACCAGGAAAATTTTGATCTACAGATACCCCCATACCCCCCCCCCCCCCCCCCACCTGTCAATGTTGCATTCATGCTAATTTTCGGACTAGACACCAACATTGTGAGAGGGAGCTTTGTGCAATAATAATAACAATACCTTAAATACGTAATTATACGAAAAAAACAGCGCATGCACTCACTTGAATTAAAAGCAACTAGTTCTAACCAACCACAGAAGTCAATGTGGTGTCTACACAAGTTTGATCCTTCTGTTCTTATAGGATGCTGCAAACTTGTCAACGAACTCATCCATGTTCAGCTTTTCAGTGCGCCTCCTCTCAATGGACAACATGCCAAGGTCGCTCAGGCGTTCATTCTCCATGGAATTCCTAAGATATGTCTTGATATAGGCCCAAAAAAAATAAGTCGGTCTCTGGTCAGCGCGCGCGTCGATTTTAATCATGCGCGTCAATCTTTTTTTTCTCCAAAATTGAAAGAAAGTGCATGACAGGAGACTGGTGACGAGTCTATGATTGGTTGATGTGCTCTCCTTTAATTACTGATTGTTCTCACATTACAATGATGAAGATAGTAGCTGAGCTGATTAGGTTAATTCGCTGATGAAGACTTTAAGCCGTGGAATGGGAGCCGTGAACTGCAATGGAGGTTGTGTAAGCCGTGTGGTAGGCCGTGGTTCTACAAGAAAACCAAATTAATACAATAATAAATATTGGAACCTACATTTATGAGGTGACATGAAAAACACATGAAAATGGACTAAGATTCATGTAATAATTTCCCCAAGTATCAACTAAATTATCTAACAAACCAAGGGATTAGATAAGCTATTATAAGCCCCAAATTACACTAAATTAACCAGCAATAATGATTAAATATGAGGGCATAATCCTGAGTCAAAAGATCAATAAAATGTACGTACATGTACCCATAAAACAACATGTGATGAAACCCACGTTATTTATCCATTACAAACCCCCCCCCCCAAAAAAAAAATATCCCTTAAAATCATCTATAAATCTACTCACTGTTAGCTTCTACGCACAACCGCTGATGGACGGCATACAGATGATTAGGAACATTTTGGTTAACCTGGGATTTTACGTTTGATTGAAGGAATAATTGCGAGGTTTATCGGAATGATTTCAGGACAAATGTGACTAAAATTGGAATCACGTTGGAATTTTCTAGATTCAAAATCACGAGAGGGCGCTATACCAATTTAACGCTTAGACACTTTCGTACAGCCGCCCCTAAATTTGAGCATAAAATTTACTAGATCTGAAAGTGTCCCTAAGAATCACAAGAGTAATGATACAGGTTAACAGTTTAGGTGTTGTCGGGTTCACCATCGGGTAGGTTGTCGTCACTGACCTCCGGAAGCCTGATCAGTCGTGCCACTGGGCGAGTGTAGGTTTTACCTCGAACGCTCACGCTGGCAGTGCGGACACGACCGTCGGAACCCGGAAAGGTCTCTGCAACTCTTCCGATGGGCCACTGAGCTCTGCTGAGTGCTGGGTCGACAATCATAACGACATCATTGGTGGTCAGGTTCGGACGGTCTGTACGCCACTTCTGGCGCTCCTGGAGAGTCGGCAAGTAGGATTTGACGAACCCGGACCAAAAGTGATCAGCGAGGACCTGGCTGTGCTTCCAGCGTCGTCTGCCAAGTAGATCCCTTGCAGGATAGACAACCTGAGGGAGAGTCGCATCATGCCGCCCCATCAGCAGAAGGTTTGGAGTGACTGGATCGGGATCTGCAACATTAGATGAGACATACCCCAGAGGCTTGGAATTTAAGATTCCCTCGACTTCAATGAGCACGGTGCGAAGTACTGACTCAGGGACGGACTGCTCATTCAGGGCAACTCTCAGGCCATCTTTCACGGACTTGATCTTTCTCAAACTTGACCTGGTGCTTGGCAAGCTCCTGCTGTAAGATGGGATCCATGGCAGCAAAGGCGTCTCGTAGCTCATTATCCCCTCCTTTGAAATTAGTGCCACAGTCGCACAGGATCTCAAATGGTTTCCCTCTTCTGGAGATGAACCGTCTAAAGGCCATCAAGAACGCGTCAGTATCGAGGCTGTCTAGTAGGTCAAGGTGAATGGCCCTGGTGGTCATACATTTAAATATGATCCCCCAACGCTTCTCGCTCCTTCTTCCAATCTTGCACGTCATTGGACCGAAACAGTCTACCCCTGTTGAGTAGAAGGGAGGCTTGAAGAGGCGGAGGCGTGCTGGAGGCAAGTCTCCCATCTTCGGAACTTGAGGGCTAGCTCTCCACTTCTGGCATTCGAAGCACTGGCGTTGATGCTTTCGGATTGCTTCTCTTCCACGTAGTATCCAAAACTTACGTCGGATCTCTGCCAGGATGCGCTCGGGTCCGTAGTGGAGCAACTTCTCATCGTAGTCACGGATGATAAGCTTTGTTATGGGATGAGCTGGATTCATCACGATGGGATGCTTAGTGTCTTTGGGTAGATCTTGGGTACGACGAAGACGTCCTCCCACTCGGATGAGGCCGCAAGATTCGTCATACTCTGGAGCAAGCTGCAGGAGTCTGCTACCACGGGGGAGCTCTTTGCCTGCTTGGATGCAAGCAATCTCCTCTGGGAAGGAATCTTGTTGAGCACGCTGATAAAGAAACATCTCGGCTTCTACCCGTTGTTCAACCAACTTGGTAGGATCAGCATCCTCGGCCGCCCCATGAAGATGCTGCATGGTAGCTGCAACAAGGTCACTCCAGGTGTCATGTTCGGATGGATCAGGTAAGTTGGGCTGAATGACGACCACAGCACCGCAGAAGGTTGACTTCTTGAACTCAGATGGGTCTTCTGTCTGTGTAGACGGGTGAGCTGGCCATGTGTCGGGAGACGACCGGAGAAAGGAAGGACCATCTCTCCATCTGTTGGCTTGGCTGAGGTCAACCAGGGTTTTGCCTCTCGTAAGGTCATCTGTGGGGTTGTTCTTGGTGTCGACATACCGCCACTTGTCAACATCGGTCAGGGTCTGTATTTCTGCGACACGGGTGCCAACGAACACTTTATACCGGCAGGATTCTGATTGCAGCCAGGTGAGCACAGTAGTCGAGTCACTCCACAGGATGACTTCATCAAGAGGAAGAGTCAACTCTTTCTGGACAAGATCAGCTAGTTGGGCACCGGCTAAGGCTACAGAGAGCTCTAGACGAGGCATTGAGAGTTGCCGTTTGGGGGCAACACGGGACCTGGCTATGATGAAGCTAACATGGACGTTGTGATCTTCATCTTCTGTTCGGATGTAAGCCACAGCTCCGTAAACTCTCTACGATGCATCACAGAAAATGTGAAGTTGGCGATGGGCAGCCTCTGTCTTGACATTTGGTGGTGTGTAGCATCTGTTAAGCTTCACTCCAGTCAGGTGGGGAAGTTCACTCTCCCAGGCTTGCCACTGGTCTCTGATATCACCCGGCTCAAGTGGATCATCCCAGTTGCGCTTCGTCTTCCACAGGTCTTGGACAATGACTCTCGCTCGGGCTGTAAATGGGGTTAGGTACCCTATAGGGTCGTACTGGCTCGCAAGGATCTTATACATATTCCTCATGTTGAGGCAGTCATAGCTGATGGGTCTGTGGCGGTACAGCAGGGCATCTGAACTGCATTCCCACAACATTCCAAGAGGGGCTTCAGTGGAATTGGTCTCCCGAAGGTTAACCACAGCTCACAGCCATCAGAACGGGCATCTGGTGGGAGATCTTCTACTACAGCAGGAACGTTGCTGGCCCACTGTCGTATTTCAAACCCACCGTCAGAAAGCAGGTTTCGCATCTTCTGGACAAGGGCTTTGGCATCTGTCTCGACTGGTAGACTCTGCAAGCAGTTGTCAACGTAGAAGGACTTGTCGACTGCCTTTGCAACTTCTGGATAGTCCTTCTCATGGTCAAAGGCGTGCTTTCTCAGAGCATAGGTAGCACAGCAGGGACTACAAGTCGAGCCAAAGGGAAGCACCTGCCATTCGTAGATGTCTGGCTCTTTGTCGACTTGTAGGTTGCGCCACAGGAATCGGAAGAGGCATCGGTCTTCTGGTAGGAGGCGTACTTGATGAAACATCGCTTTGATGTCTCCTGAGATAGCTACTGCGTGTTGTCTGAAGCGGAGTAGTACACCTATGAGTGATGCACCGAGTGTTGGCCCTGGCAGAAGGTGCTCATTAAGGATCTGGTTGTTGTACCGGAAGGAGCAGTTGAATACTAGTCGATACTTTTCGTTGTGGTATACGGTATGGTGTGGGATGAACCAGGATTCTTCGGACTTGTCTGCCTCATCCTTTGGCAAGATCCTCACGTGACCCGCATCGTTGTGTTTCTTAGCAAGCTGTGGGTATTTGTCGAGTCTCTTCTCGGTCCCCTTCAGAGTCGGTAGCACTGCCTCTTTCGGGGCATGGAATTTCGTCTCGTCCCTTTGCCTCAGGAGCGGTGTGGCGTAGCGCCGTATCCCGTTGACTTCAACGCGTTGAGTTGAGGTCTCAAGCATCTGGACTGCCTGCTGATCATGCTTAGAGCGGGTAGCTTGCTTGTCATTCAGGTACGGTAGCACATCAGCCTGCCACAACCTCTCCACGTGCTGCATGATGTCGGTAGTTTGTGGAAACAGAGAAGTTTTGAAAACCTTCTGTTCTTTCAGCTGCTTCTGGTTCCCAGCAGGTCCCTGGAGGGTCCAACCCAGCTTAGTGTTGATGGCAACTGGAGCTCCACGTGTGCCAGATTTGATTGGATGTCTTGCCACGATGAGATCCGCCTGATCAGATCCAATGAGGACCTGTGGAGAAGCATTATTGATTACGGGCAACTGAAGGTGACGGAGATGGGAGTAGCGGTGTTGCAGATCTTCAACAGGACATGTGTACTGGGATAGGCACAAGTTACTGGCCGAGAAGGCTCCAGTTACAGTGTACATCACTTCAGGTTGGTCTCTAGCTGTCATCTGGAAGGTACAAGACTGGCCTTGACATTCAACAATGTCTTCACGAACAGTCCTGAGCAACATAGTCTCTGGGTTGCCATGAAGCTTAAGTCTGGCAGCTGCTGACTGGAGTAGCATGGTTCTTTCAGAACCGTCATCCAGTATGGCATATGTGTCGATGGATCCCCCTGGACCATGGAGGGTAACTGGGAGAATCTTGAGCATGACGTTGTGGGGGCGAGTTGGTTTGTCCACGAAGACTGCTTGGTTGGAAGTCTGGAGCCTATACACATGACTGGTTGCCTTCTTGGCGGCATCATGTAGTACAGTGAGGTGGATTTCCTTGCAGGTATGACAAGGCTTTTTCAATGTGCAGTCCTCTGGCTTATGAGTTCGCCCACATTTCCAACAACGTCCCTTGTCTTTGATCCATTGGATGATCTGGTCGGTGCTCAACTTCTTGATCTCTGGGCAGCCACCGAGGAAGTGCTCCTTGTTGTCGCAGTAGGGACAGTATGGTTTAGGCTTGAACTTGGGTTTGTCCTTTGTGTTCGGTGAGGCCATGAACACAGTTGGGGAAACCTCCTTCTTTGGGGCTCGGTGCTGGCTTTGTTGGTGGGTTGGTTTAGAGCCTGCTGAGATGTGTTTTGATACAGCTCTACTTGCGAAGCTCTGGGACTGTGACTTTGTGCGAAGCCACTCTGCAAACTGGGGCAAGGTGTATGTCTTGCTGCAGTTCGGTTCCAGTATGCCCTTCTTCAGGCAATGCTCCATGAAACTGTTTCGGTGAGACGGGGCCAGTTTTCCCAGCAGACGATCGACATGTGATCCACATCGAAGTTCAACTCCCTCCGCGCCCTCCAAGGCTTGAAGCATTCCAACGAGTGACAGAACATCAAGAGAAAAGTCATCAAATGCATCTGTATCTCCATACTTGATTGAAGGAGTGGACATGATGGCTCCAATTTCACTCTGCACAAGTTGTCTGGGTTGTCCATACTTGCCAGTGAGGGCTTGGAGGGCCTGGTGTATGGTTGACTGGCGTACAGGAATGACTTGGCAAGCTTTAATGCTCGGCCACCAAGTCTGTCGATCAGTATTTGGAACTTATACTGTTCGGAAAGATGGGGATGCACATCAATGAGGTTCACCAAAGCCAGCTTGAGGAGGGCGAATTCTTTCTCTTTCCCATCAGAAAACTTTGGCAGGGTAGGTTTGGGGATCCCGTGTGATGATGCAACAAGGAGATCCATAACGGTTGGTGTTGATGACCCCGTTAAGGAGGGTACAGAAGCCATTGGGTATGGCAAGTGCGGAGGACAAGTCCCTGGAGTAGGTATGCCTTGTCTTGGAGTGACATCACTGGTTACCACTGATGCGGGTAAGGTCGCACTCACTGGGGCACCATGACAAACAGAGGTCGAAACACAGGGTAGTGTTTGCTGAATGTCCGGTGGTGAGGTCGAGGATGGGGCACCAGATGGAGTCGGATGACAGACAGAGGAGGAAACACATGGGGGTGCTTGCTGAATGTCTGGGTGAGATGTCACAAGTGGAGCACTTGGATTACCATGACAAACAGCGGATGAAACACTTGTGGATGTTTGCTGCATGTCTGGTTGTGGAGTTGAGGATGCACTCTGTGGGGGTGACTGATCGTCTGTACCCATTAAAGGATGTGATGGTGATGATTCGTTATTCAACATGGCGCTGATGGCTTCAGCCTCGCAGAGTTCCTGACGAGCAATCCGCACTCTGCGTTGACGGGATAATTTGGAGGTGAGGGCCTCACGCTCTCGCAATGCCTGTCGCTCCACTTCTTCAGCTTTAAGTCGGGCAGAGCGGGCCTGCTCGTCAAGTTTACGAAGTTGCTCATCAGCGGTCTGATCTTCCTGGAGTTGGCACTCCAGCTCGTTAAGACGAATTCTTCTTCTGAGTGTTCGCATCTTAGCTGCATCCTTATCACTAAGACCGGATAGGTGTGAGTTACGGGAACTTGATGAGCTATTAGTACGTTGGCTGCCGGAGTGCTTTGAGGCAACAGACTCATCACGGTTCTCCTTGGCCAGAACATCATCGGCATGGTGTTCAGACATTGTGGTAAAATCCGCAGGTCGCTGGTTCGAATCCGGCTCGAAGGACCATGAAAGAAAGGGCAGGACAGGAGACTGGTGACGAGTCTATGATTGGTTGATGTGCTCTCCTTTAATTACTGATTGTTCTCACATTACAATGACGAAGATAGTAGCTGAGCTGATTAGGTTAATTCACTGATGTAAACTTTAAGCCGTGGAATGGGAGCCGTGAACTGCAATGGAGGTTGTGTAAGCCGTGTGGTAGGCCGTGGTTCTACAGGAAAACCAAATTAATACAATAATAAATATTGGAACCTACATTTATGAGGTGACATGAAAAACACATGAAAATGGACTAAGATTCATGTAATAATTTCCCCAAGTATCAACTAAATTATCTAACAAACCAAGGGATTAGATAAGCTTTTATAAGCCCCAAATTACACTAAATTAACCAGCAATAATGATTAAATATGAGGGCATAATCCTGAGTCAAAAGATCAATAAAATGTACGTACATGTACCCATAAAACAACATGTGATGAAACCCACGTTATTTATCCATTAAAACCCCCCCCCCCCCAAAAAAATATCCCTTAAAATCATCTATAAATCTACTCACTGTTAGCTTCTACGCACAGCCGCCGATGGACGGCATACAGATGATTAGGAACATTTGGGTTAACCTGGGATTTTACGTTTGATTGAAGGAATAATTGCGAGGTTTATCGGAATGATTTCAGGACAAATGTGACTAAAATTGGAATCACGTTGGAATTTTCTAGATTCATAATCACGAGAGGGCGCTATACCAATTTAACGCTTAGACACTTTCGTACAAAAATGTTCCGCGGTAGCTCAAACCGCGCCCTCTATTGCCGCAACTCCTCAAATTTTTTTTACCAAAGAGCACCAAGGAATGGCAAATTGCACCAAGGCAAATGATCGAGAGCACCCAGGCAAATTATGGAGGACACCAATGTACATGAGGACACCAAAAAAGCAAAATAGTACCCCACCTTGTCTGTACAATCGAAGCTTTAAGGAAAAAAAAAAAAAAAAAAAAAGCCGCGTCCCCGTGTCAATTCCGGAACTTTGGTCTGACCAGAGACCGAATATTTTTTTTTTTGCCTTAGCTTCATTGCGGAGAAGCTTCTCTCACATGAGGCTAAGCCACTAGGCCATACGTTTAGTCGATCATGCGTCATTGTAATGTTGCGTGTCTCATTACTTATAAAGAACTGACTTACTCACCTTGAATTTCAGTAAGACTGGTGGTTCTTTCTCTGGGAATTATCAAAAAATAGGAATGGAATGCTGAAACTGAAAGCACCCGAAGCTGCTCAACGCTGAAATCCATATCTCGCGGACCCGATGATGACCATGGCATGCACGTCGTACTCATCAGACAACAGTCAGTTTTCCACTTTGTTTATCGGCAACATTTGGCTGTAGGCCTAAGGGCTCCTTTCAATATAAAATTTCAAATGGTCTAGTAGACCTACACTTTGGTGGTTTATTGATCGTAATCTCCTCGTAAAAGTACAATAAAAGCATTTACATTATT